GGACTCTGAGTATTGTCCTCATATGTTACAATGTTGAAATGTATGTATGCTACTGTTTATATGTTTGGCTTTCCATGTACCGATACCGGCACCAGGCTGGAGGGCCGGCGGGGGGGAGCTGGTTAGTATTAATCGGTTACAACACTCTCACTTTCGGCCCAAGAAGGATTGGGGCGAGGCTGCTAACCCCTAACAAAAACCGTGCACAGTTTTAGACGTCGGGGCTTCCCGCAGGCCCACACATCGGTCTGGTTACCGGGGTGGGCCCGGGCACCTCCCGCCGTCGCACAGCTACACCCTCCTTACCACAAAGGAGGACCGAGGTGGACACTCTCCTTTCCCCTTCTCGGGGCCACCTCTACTTGGGGGTCTTTATAACTCCCCACTTTTTTAACCCACACACTTTCCTCACTCTACAACCTACTTTGACGGACCTGTGACAACCCCCCCCCCCGACTCAAGGGTGTGCTCCGCGTGTGAGTACACTTATCGCCCCTACTACCCTAGTCGCTCTGAGCCTACCACATAAGGACATATCGACCCGCAACCTGAAGTGCCTGACGTCTTGACATAGCATCGGTAGCGGGGTGGGATCCCTGCGCACTCGGTGATCCCACGCCAATCGACCCACCGCACCTGCGGCTACACTGTGGACTGATCACTGGGTGACTTTGAGGGAACGTGGACAGGCCTCCAGCTAGCTGTAATATAAGACCTGGTGCTGGGATCTCCGCGTGCCCCCTCCTGGCTGGCGGACTGACGATGGCGTACCTCGGTGCTCCGCTAACTGCTATGGCTCTCAACTGCCGAGGCCTGAACGTGCCGGAACGACGCACCCATCTGCTTCGTGAACTACGGAAAAAACGAATCTCCATAGCGATGCTCCAGGAAACTCACTTCCTCGAGGGGTCCGCGCCTAAACTCCGTAATCGGCAATACCCCAACACCTTCTTCAGCAATCATCCCACAACCCGTAAAGCAGGAGTCGCTATCACCCTTGCAGCAGAACTGGACTTCAAAGAACTAGATAAGGTAACTGACAAGCTAGGGAGATACCTCTTCCTAAAAGGCACGATAGCGGACAGAATGTACACCCTGGCTTCCATTTATGTGCCCAACAAAAACCAGGCACGTTTCCTTCGGAGAACAATGAACAAACTGAGCGGATTCTCGGAGGGCACACTCATTGTGGGGGGTGATCTCAATACCCCGTTGGACCCTCAGATGGACACATCCACGGGACACTGTTATATACCTATGTCTAGCATTCACTCGATACGTAAGTCGATGGGTGACTTGGGACTGGTGGACTGTTGGAGAGTACTCAACCCGGATGTCAAAGATTACACCCACTACTCCGCACTTCACAACCGCTACTCGCGGATTGACTACGTACTAATCCAACAGGAAGGCCTGTCGCGACTGAAGAAGGCCACAATCGACCCCGCTACATGGTCGGATCACGGTCCGGTTACAGTGGAACTGGAATCGCCACTGTTCAAACCGGCAACATGGACCTGGCGTCTGAACGAATCCTTGCTACAGGACCCCGAGGTGGAAAGCGAAATTACACGAGCTCTTGACCTTTACTTCGAAGAAAATGATGTGTCAGACACCTCTCCAATTGTACTCTGGGAAGCTCATAAGAGTACCATCCGCGGTATACTTATAAAAATAGCCTCTCGACGACGGAAGGCAACCATGCAGGAAATGGCGGACCTATATGGGACTATCTCGAAGCTGGAACTCCAACACAAACAAAACCAACTTGCCAGTGTCCGACAAGACCTGACAGATGCCCGACGCAGACTGAAAGATCTTCTCACGAAACGATACTACCGCTCACTACAACACTCCAAGAACTTTTTCTATATCCATGCTAACAAAGGAGGCAAATACCTAGCCCGCGTCCTGAAAGGCGATACCCCCCGCACACGGATACATAAAATACGTCTACAAACAGGGACAGTGTCCCAATTCCCTGAGGACATCGCCAATGAATTCCAACGATATTACCACGCCTTGTATAATCTACATGGCCCTGGAAATATGACGATGGGAAGCCACGCCAGCACACCTATCCAAGAATACCTACAAGACAACGTAGGTAGCCGGGTATCACGGGAAGCAGCGAATACGCTGGACGAACCGATTAGCATTGAGGAAATGGCCGCAGCCTTGAAGAGTGCTAAGGCGGGCAAGGCACCGGGACCTGATGGATTCTCCATAGGTTATTACAAACGCTTTTCCTCAACTCTCCTACCTCGACTAACTACTGCGGTCAACACCATCACCGAGGGGAAAAGATTCGGAGCGGAATCACTAGCCGCCACTATCACGGTCCTGCTCAAACCAGGGAAAGACCCGGAACAGTGTAGCAGTTACCGACCAATATCCTTACTAAACGTGGATACGAAACTGCTCACGAAGGTACTAGCAACTAGGCTACAACGTATACTGCCAAGCCTGATCCATGAAGACCAGACGGGGTTTATACCGGGGAGGGAGGCGCGAGACAGTACACTGCGCCTCTTCTCCATACAACACAGAGCACGGGAGACGCGGGACAAGATCTTACTCCTTTCCACGGACGCCGAAAAGGCCTTTGACCGTGTTAACTGGTCATATATGATGGACACACTGAGGGCCATGGGTCTAGGACAGAACATGTTGACGTGGATCTCTGCCCTGTATGATAAACCACACGCATCTATTCGGGTGAACGGGGCCCTTACCTCCGGCTTCGAGATTCAAAATGTAACTAGACAGGGATGCCCCTTGTCGCCACTACTATTTGCAATGACTCTGGAACCACTACTACACGCGATCCGCCATAACCCAGACATCTCGGGATACAATTGGAGGGGAACGGAGCATAAGGTGGCCGCATATGCGGACGATCTTCTCTTCTTTATCTCTAACCCACGAGTCACAATGCCCTGCTTACTGCTAGAATTCGAAAAATTCGGGAAAATCGCAGGATTTAAACTTAATTTTTCAAAATGTGAAGTACTTAATCTAACCTTTCCACCGGAAGAATACCTGGAATTGGGAACAGTCTTTCCATTCCGCTGGTGCGCGGAGAAAATGAAATATCTTGGAGTATGGATCACCACAAACCCACAGGAACTTTATCGACATAACTTTGCCAACATCCTGCGACAGGTAACCTCAGATCTTGACAGATGGGCATATCCGCACATCACCTGGCACGGACGAATCGCAGTAATCAAGATGAACGTGCTCCCGAGAATTCTCTACCTATTTCAGACAATACCAGTGGCACCACCGACAACCTTCTTCTCCACCCTGAAATCGGCGGTAATTAGATATGTCTGGAGAGGGGAGAAGTCTCGACTACGCCACAACGTACTTTGCCTACCTAGACTGGGAGGTGGCCTGGCGCTCCCGGACTTCAAAAGATACCACCAAGCCACCACACTTCAACGAATCCTGGAGTGGCACGCGGCTGATTCCCCAAAACAATGGGTCGTCCTGGATGGGGGAGAATCACGGGCCACACTTAAAGCGGCGGTATGGCAAGGGGGAACGAGATGTCGCGATGGCGAAGGAGCAGGGAACCCGACGACGCAGACGCTAAAGACTTGGGCAACGATACGGAAAACCAGCCATGTGTCCCCGACCCCCAGTCCCCTGCTCCCCATAGTCCCCAACCCAAATCTGGCGGGAGGCATTTCGGCCAAGGCCTGGATATTTCTGGAGGAGGGGGACTACATCCCGATTCGAACGGTCCTCCAAGAAGGGGCACTTCGACCCCTAAACACATTAATGGCCGACAGACCTAATACGCCCATGGCGTCCCTCCGCTACCTGCAACTAACACACTACTATAGATCCATTCCACGCAGGGAACACCTACATAGAGACCTCACATGGTTTGAGGGTCTTTGCCAACGAGGCGCCACACTCGACAAAGCAATTTCACTGCTATACCAACACCTGCTGTTGGGAGCTACCCCAACTAACAACACCTTCAGGAGACAATGGGAAGAACAAATGGGCGAACCGATATCGCAATCACAGTGGGACGCAGCACTTTTATGGCAACACAAGAGTTCCTCCAGCTCACACTATCAGGAAGTAAACTATAAACTGATATCCATGTGGTATAGAACACCAGCTGCCCTACACAGGATCTTCCCAACGGCGTCCCCAACATGCTGGAGATGTCAGGAGGAGAGAGGCACGATCATACACCTTTGGTGGGATTGTAAGATCATTATCCCATATTGGGAACGAATTCGGTCTGAAATCAAAGAGGTACTAGGGGAGGACACGGAATGGTCCAAGGAACTAGTTCTCCTGCACATCACCTCGCGATCCATATCTGGTTACAAGAAGACCATCCTACGTCACCTACTGAATGCAGCTAAAGCCCTTATCCCTGTATATTGGAAACGAACTGAGGTCCCCACGGTTGCAGAATGGCGAAACAGAGTCGGAGACATACAGTTGGCGGAAGCACTACAGGCATCCCTGACGGGTCGGGGGACCAGGCACGCGGAGATGTGGCAACCATGGTTCGTCTACCAGGCTGGAGGGCACTGAAGGTCTCGTGAGGGGGAGGGAGTGACGGTGGACGGGGAGACAGATCACGCGCCTACCCCGCCAAAGCCGTGGGGGTTGGGACCACTCTATCACTGGAAATATAATCCCTGGGCAGATGAAACCAACATCGGCCCGCCGACCCAACCCTCCCACACACATTCCGAAACGCTGAAAATACGTGACCCAACCGAGACTTCCCTTCTCGCACGCGACTATAACCACTGGGCACCCACGGGGCGCGATATGGGGACAAGGGGGCGGGGGGGGAACCTGATAGGACCGCTACTTTCTTTTCTCCCTTTTCGACTCTCTTTCCCATGCTGACCCCTCTTACATGTCTAATACACAATGCACACGCCTGGGGGACAGGGGGAGGAGGGGGAAGCCAAGAGTCAAGAAAGCCAAAAAAAAAAAGGAATGCATAATACTGGCACTATTATCGGTACATCGAATTGCGGGACATGGGAACACACCCATAGGATAACCAAGCCTAACCTTAAGACCAAAGCACCTACGCTCCTTTCATGCCAGGAGCTAGTTAACTATGTCCAGCCTATTATTAGGCACTCCTGCTACAAAGTATACTGTGTCTTATGAAGGCACCCGACTTAGAGCCACGCTTTATGTTAAAAGTCCGCTTACTAGCAATAAGGATGTTACATACTATACATATGTACGTACGCCAAAACAATGACGGTTGTCACTCTACATACTTTACCTTTCTGTTATCCTATGTACGCCTACTGTTAGTTACGTAACTTATCGCTGTAATTAAACCCTGTCAGGAGACGTGGTTATGTGGGCACAAAAAAATGTGACTCAAAATATGGAAATATCGCTACAATACCCTTGTCTTCTAAGTAGGCCTGCGAGCCGAATTCTTTCTGTAACCCTCTCTTTTCTTCAATAAACAGATTTTCAAAAAAAAAAAAGAAGCTGGCAAATAGGTAGACTTTGTTGATTAGACTGCATATATCTATGAAGCTTCACACCATTACTCTCATTGGTAACCATCACCGATGACCAGGTACAAAAACTTTTTATCAATTACAAATAAAATTTAGCAACTCACTGACTTTGGTTGGCCTTTTCAACTTGTATAATACAGAATCACACAGAGGGTATTGTGCAGGGTATACAATGTCATGCATATTTAAAAATACATGCCAATGAGATTTAACCCCATTTCTGATGGATTTCTTTTAGATTAACAAAAAAAAACAAAAAACAAGCAACACAATATACAAGGAATCGATTTATCAGTTTGGCTTATACAATGTATGGATATTTTTCATTTTAAAAAGTGCAACAAGTTATGTTTGTATGATGAGTGCACTTCGACTGCTCATTAAGAGAGAAAAAAATGAAAACATTTTTAAACCTCTGGCACAATTATAACCCAGGGATAGAATTCGACACCCTTTTGTTTGTAGTAAAAACAATGGCAGGTTCTCAGAGAATCATGTTTTACTGAGCCATTGTCCTGTAAGCTGGTTCTGCATGCTTACTGCATTGTATCGTTTTTAAATAAAGACAAAGGAAGTATTTTACAAGAATGAAAGCAGGTGTCTTATTATTCATTTTGCCAGCAACCATAAATTATATTATAAATACAAACTGTATGGTGTCTTAAATTGATATTGTCATAGCATTTCTCATCAGCCATATACCTTAAAGAGCGTGTGTAACGTGTAATAAAAATGTTCTAATGTAAATATTTTCTAAATGACTCACTTTACACCTGGGTGTACATTATTATCTGTTTTATTGGAAAGGAAATGCACAATCTATAACACATTTAAGGACTATCTGAATTTTGATTTCTCCTCTTCTATATTGTCAGGGTTAAACAATAAAGAGCAGATTCCCTGGAGATCATTTTAGATCAAGATAAACAAATTGCCAGGGAAAACAATAAAAAATCAGCTATGTGATAATTTAGCCAATTGTGGCGTTAAATTTTAAATTCACGACAATTGACGTTCTATTCTGTAGCCTTGTGTGTGTCCAAATTATTGCTATGCTATTATAGTGAATGTTAAATTGAGCTTATCTTGCTACCATGCTAACTGGCTACATGGCACCTTAACACTGTGCAACAGGCAATGCTCTGACTACTGGTGCTTCCTAAAAGGATCATACTTTTTATTATATTATTTAATTTGATCATTTCATATGCAGGCACACACGCATGTGTGTACAGGAAGAGCAATTTATACACAAAATTGCAATTTTGTCTCGTGTTTCTGTGCTAGCTAGGCCATGTTTCAAATAAATGTTACACTTTTTCTTTTAACATGAAAATTACTCAGTAGAGGAAGAATTAAAGAGTTTATTGCAACAGATAACCAAGCAAGAGTTGCTGTAAAAGTTATTGGCATTGAACGAAGGTCATAAAAAAGAAGCTGATGTTATTACGTGCTTCTCCAAGAGTCATTAACACTTACTCACTGACATATATACAGGAAGATCCAGCAGCAGGTGGCAGTGGCAGCGGAAGTTAATCCATGTATAATATTCCTTTTGGAAGTTGTTCATCACTTGGCTTTGCAGGCCAGTGCATCACATTTCAGGATCTGACCGCAAATGAGGGCAAGAAATGACTCCTGTACAGGCAATTGAAGACTAAGAAACTCCTGGTCAATTTTAGGGGGAAATACATACACAGATCACTATCACACTGCACTCACTTGAACATGCATGTTATATGGATGCTGCTGGGGCCAATTGTAGATTATGCTAACGTAATGTACCTATAATCTTAATTTTCTCTCTTTCATTGTAGCGACAATAAACAGGTAACATACATAAACTATGAACAACAAGCGGATGGCAAAGTTCCAAATAATCTATGCTGAATTCCATAGATTCCGAAGGGGAAATAGCCGAAGAAGTTTGTAACTGTATCCTTGACTCCAAAAGAGAACCAATTACACTGAAAGAAAAAGAAAAAAAAGGGAAAGGCATCTGAAATGGCCGAGTGTCCAGATATATTTAACAACTACATTATGCGAAGTCTTACGAACATATTAACATAGATTCAAGTACACATTATCTGATTACTATAGAACCTTGACCCCCCCCATACATTATTATAGTACAGCACAGAAACCCTGGTAAATTACATACAGAAAAAGGGAGGGAAATATTTGCCTCCTGTCATTACTAAAATTAAGATTATAGGTACACTACGTTAGCATAATCTACAATTTTACCACATGACAGGAGGATTTGTATTTTTAACACTGATTATTAAGAAGAGCGAAAGAAGCATGAGTAACTTGGCAAAAGTAGAATACTCTAAAGGTACTCTCACGTGTTCAATCCGCGCAATGCATGATGTCCGAAATAAAAGGGTAAATAGCACCGATAATTGTCTAAGAGACCCGGATTATCAGGCCAATTCCTAAGGAAACGCAGCACCACTTCTACGTACCAGAGACGAGAATATATAGGAGCAGGAGGTCTAGATAACTTAGCTCCCCACAACAGACGACGTACAAGAGGATCTTGACCTATTGGGACGCCTTGTATGGGAACATGCTGCAGAAATGGCTGAACGCATTACATTAAGGGAACGATACGATCGACCTTGGGAAAAAGCTGAGATAAATAGTTCACGATGATAGGGATTGGTGCAGTAAAGGGATCCCATAAGAGTCCCATAAAAGGTCCTTAGCCACTTGTGATAGGCCCAGGACCGACCATGATCTCCGGAAATCGTCCAGATCACTATAACGAGCTTCTGTTCCAGGATGAGGGATGAAGTTCTCCCCTTGGTCCCGTCAGAATTAGAGGGAAGGATGGGAGAAGAAGTGGGTGATCTTGTGACATCTCCAATAGGTCTGGGAACCATGCTTAACCTTGCCATAGAGGTGCTATGAGGAGGAGTGAAGCTTTGTGGATTCGTGTGTGGCAGAGTACTCCTGCCAGCATGGAGAATGGATGGAATGCATACACTCAGTGTGTCGGCCGTGGTTGAATAAACACATCCACGGCTGTGCAGTTTGGATCTGGGAGCCAGCAGTAGTAGTTCAGTAACTAGTGAATGGTCCAGGAGGCAAACAGGTCCAGGTGAAGCAGGTTCCTGAGGTGTTTCAACTCCCGAAATACAGATGTGTTGAGCTCTCCATTGCCTCTGTCTCGCCAGTAGCAAGAGAACCATTCTGCCGTCAGGTTGGTAATCCCTGGGAGATATTCTGCTTTCAACATTTCGTGTCAATTCTCAGCAGTGCTGATTTGTACCGTATGGCACAATGTGCGGCATTGGCATTGCTAGCAGGCGTATTGAACGTTGGGCCCATTCTTGGAAAGCGTTAGGGTCAAGCTGTGTACCCTGGGTGAGAGCCAGGTCAGCAAAGTAAAGCAATTTTGCTATAGGGCCGAGGAGATCCAGCTATTTTATCTTGCATGACTTCAAGACCCTTTTCTTTTTTTTTCTTCTTTTTTTATTATTAATTCATTTTATCATACATTGACACATAGTGAAATTTACATACAAGACAAAGACAAGTGTAGCAATGACAAAGCAATGACAAAACATATAATTTACATTGTTGCAAATGTTCTATTCCTATATATTAGGTGAATCCAAGTTAGACAGCTAAGATCTCTCAATACAAAGGTAATTCATATCTCATAGAACCATTATCTAAATAGAAATAGATATATAAATATAAATATATAAATATGGGCTAAGGTCAGTCTGATCATCTCCATGGTAAGGTTTTCTATCAGGATCTATCGAATTCTAGTAAGGAAAAAATACAAGGAAATAAATCATTTATTTTCTAGGGTTCGTATCCAATAAATGTATTGGTCTTGTTTATTTGCAGAAAATATAGAGGGAACTGGTAGATCTTTTTCCATTTGAAATTGATATAAAATTTGATTAACAAGATGTGACTTCTATTGTCTTGCTATTATTATTTTTACTGCTAAAAAACAGTGGTTTACAAGGCATTTAGAAGAAGTGGAAGAAAGTTTCCAGTTTAAATGTAGCAATGCTGTATCTGGGCCTTTTTTGATTGTAATATTAAATAAACATTTAAGTATTTCAAAGGACCACTCCCAAAGATTTTTAACCAAACTACAATGCCACCATATATGAACAAGTGTTCCCTCTGGAAAACAACATCGCCAGCAATGAGGAGTTTGACCTGTTTTTTTATCCTCTCCCAAGCACTGATAATTTGCGACAAAATTAATGATTTACTACATAAAAATTCTATCTTTTTTTATTGTTTTTAAGCCATAAATACATTTCCAATCTATCTTTTCCAACTGCCTCAGATTCAATTAGGTACCATGTGTCTGTTTTAAACGATTCAACCTGAAGTTTATATATGTGACCAATAATGTTAGCATAATAAGAATTTCTAATATTTGGGTAGTTTATACCTCCATTTTGGGGTTTCCTAGAGAGAACTTTAGAGCTTAATCTAGGCCTTGTCGTTTTCCAGATAACTTTTTGAAAACTAGATTGTATCATAGTTAACCAAATATCTGGAATTTGAAGAGGAATCATCCTAAATAGATACAACCATTTGGGCATGATATAAGCATTAATTATGTTAATCCTACCGATCCAAGAGGATTCGGTTAGGCGCCATTCTTTTAATTTTATATTTGTGTATTTTAGGAGATTCAATACATTTTTTTTCTATAATATCATTAACTTGAGATGAAATTATCACACCCAAATAGTTAAAAACATTATTGGTCCATACAAAATCATAATTCTCCCGTAAAGCTCTTAAACTATAAATATCAACATTAGTAGTTACAGCAATTGATTTAGATATATTAAGTTTATAATTGGATACTTTAGAATAGCTTTTTATAACAGATAAAACTTGAGGAAGAGAGGATTCTGGGGAAATGAGT